TAACTATTTTTCTAATTTTACTATTATATATCACCACCCTTTCCATTACTATTCCTCCCTTGTCCGTTTTTCTTGATAAATTTGTCAGAAGGTTTTTAAAAGTATTGTTAGTGTTTTCAAAGTATCTTGTTTTTACCTTTTTTCATCATCTGTATTATTTCTTTTTTTTTTTCTGGTTCATTAATTTTTGCTCTTATCTGGATCATCCTTTTTACTGTTCTTGAAAATACTTGGTAGGGACTGGGGATATAGCTCAGTTGGTAGAGTCCTTGCCTTGCATGCATAAGGCCCTTGGTTCAATCCCCAGCACCCCCCTCCAAAAAAAAAAAAAAAAAAAAAGGGAGAAAATACTTGATGTTCCTGCTCTCCCTTGTTTCTTGACATTTTTGTAGTATGTCTTTCAATTTTAACTTGTGAAAATTTTGTTATTAATTCCTAATTTCATGCCTCATATTGAATAAAAATAGTCTCTAGGGTCTGACATATTTATTGAGATTGGCCTTATGGCTTAGCACATTGCCATTTTTCTTTTTTGGCAAAAATTTTATGTGTTTTACTGGGTATTTAATCAGTAAGTCTATGTGTGTTCTTTGGCTCATGCTTGTCAGTTAAGGTTCTTGATTTTATTCAATTTTTGATCTCATTTATCTTTCACTTGTTCAGAATCTATGGTTTGTTGATTTGTCCATGTAATTCAAGTTTTGTCTTATTTATTTTGATTACATGGTATTAATGCATTCAAAGATAGAGTTGTTATATTTTCTACTTGAAATACTCCAGCTAATGTCATTATATTTCATCCCCTCAAAAATGTCCTACAGTCTGTTCTACCTCTATTTTAATTAAGATTAACCAATGTATGATTTCAATCTGTCCATTTTTATGTCTTGTTTGTACAGAATGTAAGTACATTGTTTATAATATTTCCATTTTATTTACAGTAGTTTATTTATATTATATGATTTTGTGTATCATTCCTCCCAATTTTTCTATGATTTATTTTTTTTTCTTATCTTGGCTTCTATAAGATTGAAGCATTTTCTACATTTCCCTTTGTTTCCTCTGTTGTTTTGTGTTTTATATTCTACTTATATTATATTCTTGAGTGATTATCTTACATAATAACATGCATATGTGACCTAAAGTCTAATGGTACTGAATATTTTCACTCTTCTCTCAAATTCAATAATGTATTAAATTACATGTTCTTACTCCATCCTTTCATTTGGTTTAATTAGTTTTGCTCTGCCTTAGTTTAATAGCCTTTATTACTATTTGTAAATAGCCAGTATTTGTTTAGTTTACCCAAAACATCATCAATATTTATACTTGCTTTTCCTTGTGGCATATTCCTTTTGCTCGATTTTCAAGGATAAAAAGGCTTTCTCCTCTCTCCTCAATCTTCTGTTTTGAGACATTCAGAAATTCTTTTAGTAGCTCTTTTCATAAGGCTTCATTCCACAATTTACTTATTCAAAAAGTGTGTATAATCTACTTTATAGCAGTCAGAGTTCTAGGTGCTGAGGGTATAGCAGCAAATAGAGTAAAGACCCTACTTTTATGGGACTTCCAGGCTGTTGGCATGAAAGACATAATAAATAAAGATATATTTCATGAGTGCTATGAAGAAGAAATGTAGCACATGATAAGGGGAACAGAAATTACTATTTATGATAGAATGGTCAAGGAATGCCTTTCTGATGTGACTTTTGAATTAAACCTGAAGGCAGTAATTGACCCAGCCATGAGAAAATCTGAGGTAAGAATGAGGACCAGTTAGTAGTAGATGCTCTGTCTTGTTTTATTTATCTAAAATTAGCTTCGGGCTGGGGATGTGGCTCAAGCAGTAACGTGCTCGCCTGGCATGCGCGGGGCGCTGGGTTCGATCCTCAGCACCACATACAAATAAAGATGTTGTGTCCACCAAAAACTGAAAAATAAATATTAAAAAATTCTCTCTCTCTCTCTCTCTCTGTCTCTCTCTCTGTCTCTCTCTCTCTCTCTTTAAAAAAATAAAATAAAATTAGCTTCTTGTTCATCTTGCTCTTAAAATACAGTCTAGTTGACTATAGCATTCTGAGTTAACCATTATTTTTCTTTTAGCATTTCAAGATGTATTTTTGATGTCTTTTGACTTCTATTATTGCTTTTTTAAAAATATTTTTTTGTTGAGGGACCTTTATTTTATTTATTTATATGTAATGCTGAGAATTTAACCCAGTGCCTCACACATGCTAGGCAAGCACTCTTCCCCTGAGCTACAACCCCTCTATTATTCCTTTTAAGAAAACTTCTATCAATCAAAATTATATTATCTTGTAGGTTAGATGTCATTTATATTTTGTTTTGAAGTTCACCACTTTAATATTCTTAAATCTGCTATATGCTTGCTTGGCTTGGATCTGCTTTAATTTATTGAGCTCATGGTTTCAAAGCTAAGGATCCATATATTTCAACAATTATGAGACAACTCATCCATTAGTACTTTGAATATTGTTCCTCTTCTATTTTCTCTATTCTTTCACATTTAGAATCTTAATAGACATATGCTGAACCTTTTCTTTTTGTCCTCTATAAAAGAATAAGAGGTTTTTCTCTCTTTCATATTTTTATCATTTATCTGTCTGAAATATAAACTGAGCAATTTTTCCTCATATGTATCTTCCAGTTCATTAGTCTCTCTTCAGTAATATCTAATCTACTTTATATGACACACTCATTAAGCTTTAATTTCCAAAGACTATTTCTCTTTTACAAAAGGTCAGCTTCAAATAGACCTTTTTAAAATCAGATTTTTCTTTCTTACCTTTCCCCATAACCTTTATAATTTTAATTGTACTTTTTTCATAATCTCTATTTGATAATTATGTTATATGAAGTACTTGGAGGGAGTCTAATTTTGTTATATGTTGTATCGTCTGACTCTTGCTCATGATCATTTTCTTTGGTGTTTTGTTATTGTGGGCTGTGAATTTATTTTCAGTTACTTGTGGTTATGTCCCTCCAGAGTGTTTTTGTGTTTGCTTCTGTAAGTTAATCTTGTAGTATATCCAGCCTGAAACCAATTTTTATGTTAATTTCTCAGTTTGAAAACCTCAGATCAAGCAGATAGTGTACATTTGAATATCATACCACAAAAGATGAGGTTGGAAGTTGCTAAATTTGATAAAAAAAAAAAAAAAAGGCTTTCCCCTCTCTCCTCAACCTTCTATTTTGAGTGTTTGTGTTGTGGGTTGGTTTTGTCTAATTAATTTTATCTAGTTCACCCTTTTGCTGAGGTTGGAACCTTTCAGGATCTTTGCTTTATATGGGAGTCTAATTCCAGTTTCTCATTTGGCAGAGTCCTAGTTTACACCCATTGCCCTGGTTATTTATAAAATCTCGTCTTGTTCTCAAAAATAGTCCTATTGAGACAATAAATTATATGATTTTTAGATTCTTAAGCAAGGATATACTTGGTATGCTAGTAGAATAAAAAGCCAAATTGGTTAATTTGTGGAGAAGGAGTGAAGGATATCTCAAAGAGGAAGACAAGGGCCAGTATATGTCAGGGAAGATAATCAAGATATGATCAGAAGTCATTAGGGTGTTTTAAACTAAAGAATTTTAATAAATTTCTGGTAGCTTTTTTTTTTTTCAAACTGACCTCCTGCAGTAATCCCCTGTGTTTTGTGGTTAATCAAGAATTTGGGCAAAATTTGCATTCAGATTTTGAGACTCTCCTTCTCAGTGGTTCTCTGGCTTACAAGAAACTCTCCAAGCATTTTAGCACATCCTTCAGTCCTGAACATTTCCTCTGATACATAAAAATAATAAGTTTTCAGACTTCTGCAACGTGAATAGTGATGGATTGAGGAATTTCTTCAGCCTAAAAAACAGCAAACTCACAAGCAACATCCAATACAGTTCTTTTATTTAGTGGACTACTACTCAATTATTTGTGCCTGATTTTTCTGGGTCCCATAGTTGCCTCTATTTGTATGTAGTATGGTGGTCAGCTGGGACTTGAAGCAGAGAATATACTGAGATTTGGATGCCCATCATTTCAGTGATTTTCTTGCTTCTAGTACTCTCATCCCTAATATTCCAGATTTCCTGCCACCTTGAGTTAGGAAGGCTATTTGTCATACATGTCAGAGGAGTGCTAGGCTTGGGGTATTACCTAAGGGAAAGAAAAATTACTAATTTACAATTTGAACCCATGGCTATTACCATCTTCCAAGTATATACTCATTTTTGTCTGTCTGCTTTCAATCATTCCCCATTGCTTTCACGTAATATACAGTTGTTGTTCAGATTTAATCATTGATAGCAATGGAAGGATGTGCTCAAACAATTTTTTCTACTATTACCAAAACCTTGAACACTTATACTTGTTTTAACTTATATTTTGGTTAATAGGAAATTTGAACATTTTTCATTTTTGATAAGAATTTTTATCCATTTATTTAATTTTCTGTTCACTTACCCATTTTTCTATGTGTGCATTTATTTCTATTTTATTTATATATGAGATTTAATTGCCTATTGAAGATAAGGTTTTAACCCATCTGACATATTGTTACTTTGAGGCTTTGATGAAATATGTGTTAAAGTATAAAGTTTGTTTTTATGGTTATTGTTATATTGGCCTTAGATGTTTATATGGTATCTTTCTAGAGTAAAGACAAGGTTAGGAATTTCTTCTATTAAGACAAGAAAGTGCTTGCCTTTTCATAAGAAAAGTCTTGTAGTCAGCTTGTATGATGTGTAAAATAGTATTAGTACTGCTATTTCTAATAAAAGCCTCATCAGATATAGTATCACTATACTCACAATCCCTATGGCATTATTTTTCAGCCATAATCATTTACCTGACTTATCAGTAACCATTCAATAACCACTGTTAGTAGACTGCTGTTCTACATCAGAAGATGTAATTAATATTTGCTGAGGGCACTGCTGGTCCTCATCAAGACTCTTCTGAAAAAAAATTTTTTTCCTCTCTTTTCTGTCCCTAGGAGTACACCATTGATGTATTTTTTAGACAGACATGGCATGATGAGAGACTGAAATTTGATGGACCCATGAAGATCCTTCCACTGAACAATCTCCTGGCTAGTAAGATCTGGACTCCTGACACCTTCTTTCATAATGGCAAGAAATCAGTGGCTCATAATATGACCACACCGAACAAGCTGCTCAGACTGGTAGACAATGGAACCCTTCTCTATACAATGAGGTGAGAGAATGATTGCTCCTAATTAGAATATATTGTGGATAGGATTGGGGTTGTAAGCAGCACATTTTAGGGTATCCATAATTATTTCAAATTTACAGATTAGAAATGAATACACACATATGTATATATACATGCACACTTCTTAACATATTTGCTTGTATGCATACATACTTTGTATACACATATAAATGGGTAGTTGCACATATAAATAATCTGAGACAGAGATATATGTGTATTTTATAAATGTATGCATACTCAAAGACACATGTGACCTAATATACAGGCACATTCATATTTAAAGACACTAAGTTTCACAAACTTACATATATATATATATATATATATATATATATATATATATATATATGAACATACTGATCATTAGAATATGCTAAGTTTGACTAGGGAAAAATACCCTTATGAAACAGACTTGTGAGACTCAGATGAGATGATAGATATTTTCTGAAACATTATGTTTTATATATACAAATAAAAAATACTGCTATACTTATTTTATGTCACATTACCTGGGGATGCCAAAGAATTTTATATAAATGAAGTTTCCAAACACTTCAGATTGTAGCTTAGTGAAATCTTCATAAAAGATAAAATATGTTTTATACATTTTTAGCACCCAATGCATAGGAGCCATCACAATTTTATGTATTTCATGACTCATTATTGTCCTTAGAGTTACTGGATATTGAATTTTACTGTCAAAAGAATATCTTTGAGAGCACTTGCAATACAATAAGATTTTTTGCTCCAATACTAAAAAAAAAATTTTTGGTTTTTGTGTGTGCTTTTTATTCTTTTGCTAGCTCTTATGCTGTCATTTGTCACTCTTTGAAGCTTCCTCCCATATTAATGTGTGTTCATTTTGTGTAACTGAGTGAACCTTTATTGAATAGATAAATGCAATCATTCAGTGCAGTTTCTAGGGCTATTTTAAATTTATGGATTTATTATTTTGCATAATGAAACTCAATGCATGGCTGGTGAATATATGAATTATATCCCTCATTACTTCAAATTTGTTATTTACTTATGTTTTCCTACAAGAATTTGGGAGACAGGAAAATGGCTTAGGAACAAAGGATAAAAGATGAATACTTAAAAGTTGAATGAGAGAGGAAGAAATGAGAGAGTAGAGGAAAAATGGACATATGGTAGAGGAGAAATTCTAGAGAAAAGAAGAAAAATGGATATGAATTGGATAAAGAAGGAGAGGGGAAGGGAAGACTAATTATGTACATTTTCTCCAGATTTTATATATATTATGAATACATATTACATATGTATGAGTGTGAATATATATGACATATAACATGCATATCATATATAGAGAGAAGGAAGAGAGAGATATGAGGATAGAGAAAGAGAGAATGTGAGAAAGGAGAGAAAAGAGTAGAAAAGCTGAGAAGATAATGGAGAAGATGGAGGAAAATAAAGAGACTAAGTATTAGGATGCCATAAAAGGATGGGAAAACTTGATGAAGAGGATATAATATATGAGAAAAAAGAAGAAAAGACATAGAGGAGTAGGGGAAGAAACACTGAAGGAGATGAACAAAAGGGAAGGAAATCATGGGTGCAAGAAAGACAAGTCTTAATTCAATTTGATCATTTAGCAAATATGTTTGACTTCCTAATACATACATGGCCCTGGACTAAGTTATGGGTATGCAAACATTAATTACAGATGGTCTCTGTCCTTTTGACCATCACAGTATAATAAGGTTGAAACAATAATTAGATAATCACAAATAATATTAACTAAAATGCTAAAGATATATATATGTATATATATATATGTGTGTATATATATATATATATATATATATACACACACAC